GCACAAATGACGTCGCTGTCGACCGGCTTACGTCACTTCTTAGTACACACTGTCGGTGCGATTGCAACCCTATAAATGGTACTGGGAAATAGTTCGCGCAAAATCGTCCCAGTACTTTAGCACTGTACATTTAGTTCTGGAACTAAAGCGGTGCGAAAGGCCCTATTTACTCACCCTCATCTTGTTTCAAACCTGTATGAATTTCTTTCTTCTGAACACAAAAGAAGATATTTTGAAGGTAACCAAACAGTTGATGGTAGCCATTGAGTTCCTATTAATACTATGGAAGTCAGTGGCTACCAGCAACTTGAGGATAAGTGAATGATGACATAATTTAAATTTTTGGGTGAACTATACCTTTAAGTTAACCGTCTTGTCTGTACCAAGACTGTCTGTCTCATTTATATATAATATATATATATTATAAACATTTTGTTTAATATTTTCATGAAATAAACCCGGGGACCAATTAATTGGATTACATTTATCCAGACTCTCAGTAAGCCTAAATGTCAGTTTGTGAATATTGTATTAAATTAATTTCTGATTTCTGTTCTGTTCTGTTCTGTTGAAATCTGAAATGACCCTATAATTTGACAAAAGAGTCAAGACTGCTGAATGCAGTAAATTCAATACGAATTGCCTTTTTCCCTAAAATGCGCTGCAATATTATGATCTCAACAGTATGAATTACATGGCTTCACCTTAAGACACTTAAGTTGATCTATCCTGACAGTCTGTATTTTCAGGTTGTGTAGTGAAAGCTACACATAATATGTTCCTGGTTCCTGCTGCTGCTATTTATTTGCATTAGCAATATTTATGTTTGTGTGATGCGATCTGATGTAGAAGTGTTTATTTTTTTGCTTTTCCTTATTTATGCAAAATACAACTGGTTCAACTTGATGTTCAGTGGCTGATAGTGATATCTAGAGAGTGGAGTGACTGATATAATGCTGATTATCTATGTGAAATGAGCGAATACAGTTTATTTAAAGGCGGGTAGGTGATTTGGTTCGAAGACATATTTTGTTATTCTGGTTGAAAGTCTCTTCACATCCCGATGGCAATCACTATGTATTTATATGCGTTTTTATCGTCTGTGGAAGGCGTAGGACCATAAAATGCTCGTCCAATCATATCCCTCGGTCCGAGGACTACGATAGGTTGTCCTTCCTGCCTGTAAACGTATGTATTTCCATACCTCCGCGCAGTCATGATACATCATCAGTGCATTCATTACGCTATTGCAGACCGAGCGAGAATGGAAAGCGTTATTATTGTAATATTATGCGCTTTGTACTGTTACGTTTTCTCACCGGTGAATAAGACATGAGGTAATCTGACAGCATTGCGTTCAACCCTCCACCAACGGCGTCTCTCATCGTGTCGCTGGTCAGCCTCTGGTCCGCCAGTGTGCATTCATGTGTTTTAGAGGAGGCGTGGCTTTGGAGAGAGATTTGCAGGTAGGGTGGGATCTTATGCTTTCAATGCTAGCTTGCTATTGCTAGCCTCTCTGAAATCGCCTACCCTACCTTTAAGGCTACTGAGGTGAAGTGAACCTTAAACATTTTAGCATTATTGATCATTTTGCTGTGGTGACCCCTAATGGGAGCAGCTGAAGGACAGAAAGAGAGAGAGAGAGAGACATAAAAATATCAGAAAATGGAAATTAAGAATTGATAAATATGCAGATCATCTGTAAATCATTTCTTTTGTTATTGGCACTTCCTCATTGAAGTTGTTCTCCTGTGCAGATGTACGCATGGGAGATCTCGGATCAGCTCCTGCAGCTGAAGCAGGACGTGGAATCGTGTTACTTCGCAGCCCAGACAATGAAGATGAAGATCCAGACATCGTTCTATGAGCTTCCCCCAGAGACCCACACCGCACTGAGAGATTCACTCCTGTCTCACATCCAGAACCTCAAAGACCTGTCTCCCATCATCGTCACACAGGTAACGTCCCATCATCGTCACACAGGTAACGTCCCATCGTCTGTTTGAACTCGGGTTGTATCTGCTAAACGTGACATGATTTGTGTCCTGAATCCAAATGAAAATCAGTGGTGTTGATCTCAAACATCTGGCATTCATGATTGTGTTTTGAACATGTAGTGTGACTGTGAGGTGTTTACAGGGACTGTCCATCCCGACCACACTGCAGTGCTACATATTGAGAACTGTTAAGAAAGTGTCACTGGTGTTAATGTCATTCTCTTTCCCAGCTTGCGTTGGCAATCGCAGATCTGGCTCTTCAGATGGCCTCGTGGAAAGGCTGTGTTCAAACCCTGATAGAAAAGTAAGAATCCACTCCAGACTTTCTTTAATTTGCATGTTATTGATATGTTCCTTATCTGTGACCCTGTTTACAATTAATATTGAAGGAATAGCTCACTCTAAAATGGATATTACAGATAATGAAAGTAAGTCAGGATTGCTTGGCTGCAAAAGCGACTTTATGAGCTCAAAAATTACATGTGTAATAATTCTAAAAGAATTAAAATAGTTGGTGTCACCTTGAAACTTCATAATCTACCCAACGCTCTGTTACGCTTCTTCCAGATACAGTAATGATGTGTCCTCCATGCCGTTCCTGATTGAGATACTCACCGTTCTGCCGGAGGAGGTGCATAGCCGCTCTCTAAGGATCGGAGCCAATCGACGGACGGAGATCATTGAGGATCTGGCCTACTACTCTACCACAGTGGTCACTCTTCTGGTATAACACGGTTATATCTGCACAACAATTTCTATCATCAAATAAGATGCCTAGCCTGTCGTTCCAAAGTTTAATGGTTATCACACATACCCCAGACACTTAAAGCATGCAAGAGACATGAATTTCCATGCAGGTATTGTTAATTATCATTATTATTATTATTTAAAATTTTGGTACATTTTTTGTTAGCTGTTAATTTGTAAGTGTTTAAAAATATATTTACATTTTTTTATTAAATGTTTATTAAAAAATTTGAAATCTTATTACAATTTTAAAGTTTATATATATATATATATTCACAAAATGAAGTTTGCCAGGCATAAAAACACATCTCTTCCTCTATGGGGCCATTGTCTGTTGCTTTTACCTTGCTAATTCTGTGCTATCAATCCATCCATGCAAATCATTTTAGTGGTTTAGGCCCTGCATAAACATTTAAATAATGGTTTATGATTCTGAGCTTGGATGTTGTTGTATTTCCATGATCAGGTGACGTGTGCGGAGAAGTCCGGACATGATGAGAAGATGCTTATCAAGGTGTTCCGGTGTTTGGGGAGCTGGTTTAATTTAGGAGTGCTGGACAACAACTTCATGGCTAACAATCAACTGCTGATGATTCTCTTCCAAGTGCTGGTAAGGTCAGACAATGTAGTCGGGTGTTCACTTAGCTCCCACTTTCTCTTACTTTAAAAAGATCTGTTTTTCCTACTCTTCATTACAGCAGAGGGATGAGACGTCCACAAACCTGCACGAGGCGGCATCAGACTGCGTGTGCTCAGCACTGTACGCGATCGAGAATGTGGCTGTACACATGCCTCTGGCCATGCAGCTCTTCCAGGGAGTCCTCTCTCTAGAAACAGCCTACCACATGGCCGTAGCCCGAGAGGACCTCGATAAGTACGTTTGGCATCATTTGTGATCAATGTACGCAGGTCATGCAAGCCTCAAACAAAACAGCTCTGTTCTGATACCCAGTCAGATGCCATAAGACAGCATCTTAAGTCTCATGGGACCATATAAGTGGCAGTTGGAATAGTCTACATGGGTAGCTAAAACATATAGCGCTTGTCATGCTAAGCGAACAGGATACTGGACTCTTGGGTGATTTCTGTTGAGTTTGATGTTAGCATGCTGCAAAGATAAAACCTCTAATTGAGCAATACTCGAAATGAGAGACTCGAGTCACAATTGATTTCAGTAGAGTTAAGATTTTGATACAGTGAAGGACCAAATTGCGCAATACTATAAATGAGAGACTCTTCTCACAAATGATTTTATTTCAATGGCTGTTTCCACCATGATGGATTTTTTTTCACATGGGCTTGCATTCCTATTGAAAGAAAACTCACTAATCCTTATAATTTGGCCTAAAGAAGGTAATTTAAAAGGCAGCGTATTCATACTCTATCAGGAAGCTCTTTAGGTTTTGGGACCGAGCAAGTGATCTGTGTTGAAAACTGTTGTAAACTGCATGTGTTTGGCTTTTTTTGTTCCCTTTTCTTGCTTTTCCACCACAGGGTGCTAAATTATTGCCGGATCTTTACGGAATTGTGTGAGACGTTTTTGGAGATGACAGTAAGGACTCCTGGCCTGGGAATGGGAGATCTACGCATCCTAGAGTTACTGCTTATTTGTGCCGGACATCCCCAGTATGAGGTGAGAGTGAAAGCTGACACATTCACACATAATGATAAGTGAAAGTGACTGAGATTTTGAAGCATCCTCTTAACTGTCTGTTGGGAATCTTTGTCCTCCTTCAGGTGGTTGAAATCTCATTCAACTTCTGGTATCGTCTGGGAGAACATCTTTATAAAACGAACGATCCGGCTCTCCACAGAGTGTTCAAGCCGTACATACAGAGACTACTGCACAGTCTCGCCCGCCACTGCCAGCTTGACCCAGATCATGTGAGCATCCTTCCCTTCCCATATCTTTCTCTTCCTTCTTCACAGAAAATACTTGAATCATTCAAATACAAGCCACTTCTTTCCAGTACTTATTGCTTTTGTGCAACAAAATTGAATAAGCTTCATGATTTCATGATTTGTTTTTCTTCATCACTTATTTTGTGTTTCTTGTACAGGAAGGAGTCCCAGAGGACACGGATGATTTCGGCGAGTTCAGGATGAGAGTGTCTGATCTTGTGAAAGATGTAATTTTCCTAGTCGGCTCCATGGAGTGTTTCTCACAGGTAGAATTTATACTAATAGAAACATGAACTGAAAGTGATTTGAGGAAAAGGCCTCAAAATGATTTTAAAATTTAGGGTGATTTACTGAGAAACAAAAGGGAATATTCAACCTTACCATTATTATAAATGCTTTGTGTCCTCTCATCAGCTGTATTCGACTCTGAAGGAGGGAAACCCCCCATGGGAAGTAACTGAGGCTGTTTTGTTCATCATGGCTTCAATTGCTAAGAGTATCGATCCGTAAGTATCACTTTCAGTCATGACTAAACAGCTTCATATTCAAGACTCTTGCTTTCACCAATCAAATTCACACCTGTGGCTGGGGTAGTGCAAACTTTGAGTCATACTGTTTAGGGCTGTGCAATTAATCGCATGCGATTGTCATGCGCATCTCGTCAGTAAAGCCGGTCCCGTGATTAGTAGTAAATCGCCATCACCTGCTTTCAGATGGAGCGGCATTTAATACACAGAGCCGTAGTTCACTGACAATTAGGCAATATCGCGTTCATAATCGCAGATGAATCGCATTCAATTATGAACGTGATATCGCCTAGCTTGTCAGTGAACTACGTCTCTGTGTATTAAATGCGGCTCCATCTGAAAGCAGGTGATGGAGATTTACTACTAATCACGGGACCAGCTTTACTGACGAGATGCGCATGACAATCGCATGCGATTAATTGCACAGCCCTAATACTATTGCAGATTATATACATTTCATTATCTTATTGTCCTGTGTTTTGAGACTTAAAAGGTTACTCAAACTGTTTAATGATACAGTTATCATTTGTAAACTGAAGGATTTTATGTAGTTATTTATTGGAATAAAATTTTGTAAGGTTTACTGTATATTGTCTTTTTAAAATTTTGCTGTGAATATAGACTTTGATGCTGATATGGCTTTAAATATATATATATTTCTGAAATTTTGTATAGCTCTGGTTATTGATGCAGAATTTCAGATTTATTTAGATTCTGATTCACAAGCTCTCGATTTGATTCTTATCTGATTTGGTTCAGATTCTTTTGGATATTGTTCAGTCCGTTTTGGTTAAATATGAAAAATTCTCTTTCAGCTAATACTGTAATTAATTATATAGGGCAGTGTTTCAGATTGATTAACTCATCTTTTTTTTTTAAGCTTTTTTACACAACAAAATGTTGTGTTTTATGACATTAATCATATTTTTAAGGCCCGGGTATACTTCACTTTCTGCGTTCCTTTCCGTCTCGCGCACAGCCGTGTCAGCACAGCTTTCAATGTATACTCCACCGCGGATGGACGAGCTCGGCACATACTCAGTGCCATCTACTTGACTCGTTCTGTCTCAACATTAACCTCGCACTGTTGTACGCAGACAGTCTGCGCAGTCGCAAAAGTTGGACACTTCTGATGACAAAAATCGTGTCACAAGGACAGTGCGCGGACGGCTGAAGTATACTTTGGACTTTACCCATCCCTAGTCATTTGTCAAAAACACTGGTGATTCTGTAGCACATATAGCTTTTTGTTTGTAACTGTAAATTGTCTCCCTCTCCCTCTGCTGGTTCCTAGTGAGAATAATCCCACACTAACGGAGGTGCTGGAGCAGATAGTGTTGCTTCCCGAGACGGTCCACCTTGCTGTTCGCTACACCAGCATCGAGCTGGTTGGCGAGATGAGCGAAGTGATCGACCGGAACCCTTGCATGTTAGGTGACTGTCACAATCTGGTTTATTACATGATACATGATCTTCACTCACAAGATGTTTTGTTTCTCTGTATTCATGATGTCTGTATTGGGTTGGTAGATCCTGTTTTGAATTTCCTGATGAAGGGTTTGCGGGAGAAGCCGTTGGCCTCTGTGGCAGCTAAAGCCATTCACAGCATCTGCTCGGTGTGTCGAGATCACATGGCACAGCACTTCCAGGGCGATCTTAGTCATGCCTTTGTTGTATGGCTGGTTTTGTTTAAGTAGTGTGATTGGTTTATCTCAGGCACAGCGTTGGTGTTGGCCCGCCTCCCCCTGGAGAAGATCGCGGAGTGTCTGAACGATCTGTGTGCAGTTCAGGTCATGGCACTTAGGAAGGTTAGATACTCGTTACTGTGTGGTCTGTATTTCTCACTGTCGGTGGTTAACTCAATAAAGTAATGTGTTGTCTTTGTGACCAGCTGCTGGCTCAGGACTCCAGTAGTGGGAAGTCATCAGACCCCACTGTGTGGCTGGACAGACTGGCTGTTATCTTCAGGTGAGACTCAACATCACCACCTTTGCACTTTAAGCACAATATTGTGAAACATTTTTTTGGACTGAATATTTCTAGTCCTTCGAGAAGAAAATAGTTTTTTTGTTTGTTTTTTCTCCTGAACTGACACTCTTGAAAAAGATTTTAAAGTAATTTCTGGGAAGGTGTTAGTAGTTTAATGTATTGATATGTATATGGAATGTTTATTAAATAATAGTTTGATAATTTATAGATTTTTGTTTTATTAGTTTATTTATTTATTGGTTTGGTAATTTATTATTTTTGTTTTTGTTTAAATTAATTTTTAACATCATTATTATTATTATTATTATTATTATTTTAATCTGGATTTTTGCCTTGAAAATAGCCGTAGAAGTTGGCATAGTGGTTCAAAACTAAACAAAAACACCCTTTTTTTTTTAATGGCTTTGAGACTTAAGAAAATGTTAAAATCGAGTGTAGAATTGGCCTCCTTGCAGATTATTGGTTTTATAGTTTTGAAAAACTGTTTAAAGTTTTAGTATAGATAACAAAAGATATTAAATAACATTTCATCTGAATTCTACACCATATTCTCTTGCTTGTAAAGTTCACAATCTGCATGTTATTGTTTAAGTCTTTAAATAGCATTAATTAATAAACAAAGGCTTTTTCTGCAAGTGTATGTAATATTTCACAATCCAGTAAAATTGAATTCCTCCCCCCATTATCTCTCATTAAATCATTTCACAAAAATGTCACATTAAAGAAGTTAAATGTGTGCTGTTTCAGTTCATGCTGTTTTTAAAGGGTTGAAATTTTGTCTCTATTAGACACACAAACCCCATAGTAGAGAATGGACAGACACACCCCTGCCAGAAAGTCATTCAAGAGGTATGTTTAGCTGTGTGTTGAATGACACAGTATTTGTCTGTAAATGTGTTTCTTTCTGATCATCACTGTTCTTTGTTGTAGATCTGGCCGGTGTTGTCGGAGACGTTAAACGCCCACCAGAATGATAACCGGATAGTGGAGCGCTGCTGCCGCTGCCTGAGATTTGCAGTGCGCTGCGTAGGCAAAGGCTCTGCTTCTCTATTACAGCCACTTGTTACTCAGGTTTGTCTTTGTGCCTTAAAAATGCACATCCACTGATCGGAGTGTGTGTTTCTGAAATAGAACAGACTGTAGATCTCAAAAATGTATTTGTGTTTCAGATGGTGAGTGTGTACCAGGTGTACCCTCACTCCTGTTTCCTGTACCTGGGCAGCATTCTAGTGGACGAGTACGGCATGGAGGAAGGATGCAGACAAGGCCTGTTGGATATGCTACAGGTACGCCTAAAACACACCAGCATACTCCAGTCTCATGTAGATAGACTTCAGACTTCATAAATATATGTAATATTTTTATATTAAACTTGAACTTGGTATGAAAGTTTTTCAAAACATTATGAAGCCAACATTAATACAGAAAGTACTTATTTTAAAACTAGATTCTTAAAAGTTTTTTTTTCCTTCTCATTTGTCATTGACCCCCTTACAAAGTTATTTCATTTCAATCCGCGTTGAGTTGATTATGATTGCTGATGATGACCTAAGTGTTATTGATCAGTAGTTGTATCTTTCACTCTTGCAGGCTCTCTGTATGCCGACCTTCCAGCTGTTAGAGCAGCCTAATGGACTGCGCAATCACCCCGACACAGTGGACGATCTTTTTAGACTCGTCACAAGGTATCAGTTCTATGTTAGAAAAACAAGCAATCTGATATGATGAAACAAGTTCAAAATAAGTGACTTGCCACACAAAAATAAAATTCATTAAGCCAAGCTATTTCCTCTCGTTATTTCAGGTTTGTCCAGCGCAGTCCGTTCACATTGGTGAACAGCAGTATTATCGTCCACATCATCCAGTGTGCCATCGCTTCTACCACCCTGGACCATAGAGATGCCAACTGCAGCGTCATGAAGTTCATCAGAGACCTTATTCACACTGGGGTCACCAATGACGTAAGCGGCACTGTCGATCAAACTAAACCAATCGAAAGACCTTGTATATACATTTTCATTGTATATAACTGATTTCTTCTCTTTCAGCACGAGGATGACTTTGAGGTGCGAAAGCGTCTGATTGGTCAGGTGATGGAGCAGCACGGGCAGCAGCTAGTGACTCAGCTGATCAACACCTGCTGTTTCTGTCTGCCACCTTACACTCTGCCTGATGTAGCAGAGGTACTCTGGGAGATAATGGTCTTTGATCGGCCGGTAAGTTTTTACTTTTTTTTTTTTTTTTGAACACAACACTTTTGGAATGTCCCTCAAATACAGATTAACCTTTACACATTTCAAATATCTCCATACACCTTAGCAATAGAATCGCCATTGGCTAGTAATTACTATTTTTTTTCTCAGACTCCACCAAATCAGCTTATATTTGTACAGCTTTTGGCTTAATGAATATTAATCACGTTGTATGTGTTCGCTTGAACTGATTTGCTGAAATCTAAATGTGGATGGTAATTGCCACTTGCCGGCTGATTAGTTCTGCCCACTATCGAAGGAAGCGGCAGTGGCTTCTGCTTGTTCATTAAGGCTGAATCATTCCAAACAAACTAGTGTCATTTTGACAGGAAAATACTACAAAGAATATAATTTACATATAGCATCCTTTGATACCAATAGGAATAGTGCGCTTTAAAGACAGAGTGACTTATACTCTAAATCTAACAATTTATTAGCCAGTGGCTAAGATAGACGTTATTTAGACACCTAGCATGAAAGTTTATAAGTGATTTACTTGCATTGTAGCGGGTTGCATTTTACAGACGTGAGGTATTTTATTTTATTATTTTTTGTTCTTAAAAATACTTTTAATAACTGTTTTTTTTTCCTACACACATAATACAATTTGTTGATAAATTGAATTTTTTAAAACTTTTATTTGTTTTAGTTTCTTAATTTATATATTTTTTTCATGTGATAACCAGTAACTTCTACTAAACACTTTTAATAATTTATACTAACAACCCTCTAAAATGTGAGTAATTCACTTGCATATGTGACTAAATTTCCATGCTAGGTGACCAAATAATGTATATCGTTAGCCATTAGCTAATATATTGTTAGATTTCACTCGCCAGTGTTTGAGTTAGAGGCTAAGTATAAGTTTAACGCAGATATTTCACTCACCTTGACTAATTTTGAACACTGCGTGCTTGAATTTCACTCTCCGCACTATTCCAATTCTACTTTAATTATTAGTATTATAATTATATGATCAGTGTTATTGTTAGGTTGTTTTTTTTTAACAGAATGATCAACAATGTCTCAAGCACCACCACCAGTCCTAAGTTCAGTTAAAATGACAAATATGCATTCATACATTTTCATTCATAATGAATGATAATGAAGATAAACTGATTTGGTGGAATCTTTAGTCTGGCGAGTAAACTAAAAAAAATGTACTAGCCAATGGCGATTTATTGCCAAGGTGTGTATAGAGGGTTGACTAATCTTGTCTTTTAAATACTTTTCAGAGATCTTAAAGAGATTTTCTGTATCAATTTCCTTTCATAAATGAGGCTGTGATGTCAAAATTGTCACATGTTGTGGCTGTCTCGGTGTCTCTAGACATTTTGCCGCTGGCTGGAAACCGCACTGAAGGGTCTTCCAAAAGAAACAGCAGGAGGCGCTCTAACCGTCACACACAAGCAGCTCACCGACTTCCATAAGCAGGTCACAAGGCGAGTTTGTGCCTGCTGTCACCTGAGCTTTCAAAGAAGGCTGTGAACATCAACTGCATTAAGATAATTTCATTACACTCCTGAAGAAATGTGCCTGTTCCTTAATTAAAAATTGCTTTTGTCTATAATAAAAAGTAATCGTGCTTATCAGTGTAGATTACAGGCAACATTTGTCTTTTGGGGTATTGCAAGTTGGTGCACGTTCGGTTCTCCTTGTGGTTAGCTTACTACGGCATGCATAAACAAGTTCCCATAACCAGTCGTCCAAGAGGGTGAAGTATCTCATACTTTGGCAAGTCTTGACCTGAGGAACGAGGAGCCTCCCAGCATGGTGTTGTGCACAGATGTCAAATGCATATTCTAACAAAGCAGAATGAGTCACAGCGTTGCATGGAAAGTCCAAACCACGCCAGACTGATTGATGCAGCACCGTTGTGTTGCTCGCCCATGCTTTCGGCGTTTTTGGAAATTGACCTGTGATTAGTAATAATAGACCAGCTCATTGTTTATTAGTTTGATGAAAAGTGATGCTAATTTGTTCTCTTTTTCTCCATCTATCTATTAATCTGTCACCCTAGTGCAGAGGAATGTAAACAGGTTTGTTGGGCGATAAGAGAGTTTACCAGGCTGTACCGATAGCTGTCTTTTACCTGCTGATGCTGCAAGACCAGGTGACAGAAGCATATTGAACTCTAAATTTGTCATGTTATTTATTGTACATAACATGGAAACTTTCTCCTCAATGAATGATGTTTATTTAAAGGGATAGTTCACCCAAAAATTAAAATTCTGTCATCATTTACTCACCCTCATGTTGTTACAAACCTGTATGAGTTGCTTTATGTTGAACATAAAAGAAGATATTTTGAAGATTGCTGGTAATCAAACAGTTGGTGGTTGCCATTGACTTCAATTATTTTAATTTAAATAATCAGATCAGTTGATTTAAAATGTAATTCTTGCTTGCTTTTATTTGTTTTAATAAATGTTTAAATTTTTATATTTGTCTTATACTGTGTTCTTAAATCATTTTAATATGAACTTTATATGTGACCCTGGACCACAAAACCAGTCTTAAGTCGCTGGGGTATATTTGTAGCAATAGACAAAAATACATTGAATGGGTCAAAATGATCAGTAGGATATTAAGTAAAGATCATGTTCCATGAAGATATTTTGTAAATTTCCAACTGTAAATATATCAAAACTTAATATTTGATTAGTAATATGCATTAAGTAAGAACTTCATTTGGACAACTTTTTTTTTCTCAATATTTAGATTTTTTTGCATCCTCAGATTCCAGATTTTCAAATAGTTGTATCTCGGCCAAATATTGTCCGATCCTAACAAACCATACATCAATGGAAAGCTTAATTATTCAGCTTTGAGATGGTGTAAATTTATTCAATTTAAAAAAATGTACCCTTATGACTGGTTTTGTGGTCCAGGGTCACATATGCAAGATGTAATATTATATTGTATTACAATATATTAATATATATTATATTTATTAATATTAATGTTAAAGATTTTATTTTTCAATGTTTACTTAATGGGATTATTTTAATGCATATAATCAAATTAATTTGTATTTTTTGCTTTCTTTTATATCTAATACATTTTTTAATTAAACGGTGTTTATTTTAAATGGAACTATATATGTAATAATTATGTAAATTGTATTACAATATCTTAATATGGTAAAGATTGAAATAAAAATTGTATTTTTTATTTCTTTTAAATATTATTATTGTTTTATCATTTCTGCTGCTGAAAAGAAAAAGCATTATACAAAAAAACGGTTTACATGAGATTTTGAAATCATGTTTTTTGTTTGGTTAAGTCAAATCTAATCTTTTTCCCCCAACACTATTTACCGGTGCGCAATCAGGCTTTGCGAAAACTTTAATTTTATCAAGTCATAAGCATATTAAGTTGTTTACAAGGTTTTACACATCGTAAAAAAAACATCCTTTTTTAAGACAGAAATGACTGGAGAAGTCATAAATTAATTGGTCAGACATGTTGGAATAATGTAAATATTTCTGAAAAAATTCAGCATTGTAAAATGTTTTCTCTTGTCCTCTGCAGGTCAGATTTTTTGTTTTGCTAACATTTGGAGGAAGTGGCAAAGGGAGCCATGATGACCACTGTTGAGAAACTAAAGGGAACTCTTGCATGAAGGATTTGTAGGACTTGGCACCATGGGAAAGCCGACCAATTGAATTGGAGCTTTGGAATGGCAGGGTTTCAGGAAAAGCAATTTGCCTTGTGGGTGTCAAAAGACTGCAGCCCCATCCCTCCCTTTTACCTCTATGAGCACACTGATGCCAGCCGCACAGAGAGAAGGGGGGGATATTTCGGAAGGGACACCGTCGTCTTGTGGGAGGGGGGCCATCGAATGGACACTGAAACACACACACACCCATTTCAAAACATGGATGAACTTCTGCATCGGTCGGATTTCTGGGGGTCCATCAAAAACCAACGACAAATAAGGATGTGCCTGGTTGCAAATCATAATGCATCATTAAAAAAAGAGAGACTTGTAAGTTTTTAAAAACAAATGGAGATTTATTTTCATGGACGTGTTTAGAGATCAAGATATGGCTTTGCTGCCAGTGCCATAAAAACGACTACCAAATTAAAGATCGTCACAGCAGCAGCCTGCGCCTGTGGGACATTTGGAAAGGGAGAATCTTGGGAGAGTTGGCGTCACCCTTGATCTTTTTAAAGTTGGCTGGGATTTTATCCGTACAGGTTATGCTGTAAATTATGGAGTGGACTGACTGGCAGGGGCTTTTTTTTTGTTTTCTCACCCTATTGGCACATCTCGAGATGCAGAGATCGTCTTCGGCCGATTGTGTGAACAAATAAAACCAACATTGTGAGGAACAAACTAATCTTTGTCTCGTATCATTTCAGATGCACTCGTGTGTTTGAGAAGTGATTTACATTCTCTTGCAGCTCTCAGAACCTGTTTGACCAGGTTTCATTTTAAGAAAGTTACATGGGTCCTTTAGGTCTCGTTTTCTGAGTCATAGAGTAAATCGAACCCTCCTCTATTGTCTGAATTTTTCGAAGGCCCTACAATCATGCGTTTCTCAATTGCGCAAGTAAACCCTCAGGCCACCCCTCCCGCATCCAATTTGCTGAATGAACTTTATGTAGTCAAAGTACGTAGTCATATCCGTTCAAGTTCGACAGATTCGTGTTACTGGCAGGGACCCTATCGGATGAGGTCAGCAGATATTATCCACCTGCTCTGGTAATGTTTGCAAAGAACTTGCATTAAATATGAGTCTTAAATCTATGAGTAATAGCTTATTTCAGGGTTTTACAGGGTCGGCGTTGTACTAAGGTTGCTCATGGGACGAATCATACTGTGGTAACCTGATCATGTCAGCAACCATTTAAAATACTGCACTGGTATTTATTGAAACATAACATTTTAAAAGACAAGTTTACATGAAGACAAAAAAACGTGGGAAAAGAAATGTCAAGTTTGGTCTCCAATGGAAATGTTTTCAGTATGGCATCAGTGAGGGCACCTATATATTCCAGTGTTCCACAGGACCTCCAATTCTGAGCAGGCAATGAACAAGATGGTGTTGCTGATGAAAAAATGGGCTCCTCTTTCAGTTAGTGGATGTTTTGAGCCCAGGTGAGGTGCGCGTTTTGACTTTGCAACAGTCTGTGGAGCTCTTTGAACTGCTCCACCGTTTGGTCTTTCAGGTCAGGGTTGGAGATCTGCAACCGAATGCTGTCTGTGGACCACGAAAGCTCGCCTGAAAACATCTCGGTAATGATTCTTGCAACAACTGGAACAACCTAGATAAAGAAAAAACGGCAAGTTTTAGTATCAGCAGATGGCTGTCTATTATTAAGCCAAGTTTATTTCGCTAAAGCAATCTATGCTAGTTTTGATAAACGCTAAATTATAAAACAACTCTAGCTCTGGATGCTGATTGGCTAAAATACAACATCTGTTCATCTAGTAATATTAGTGCTATATTATGAACAAAATGTTCTTGCTAACACAATTTAGCAATGTAACATGATTTGCTAAGTCTAAAGAGTGCTAAATTATAAAAAAAACAGCACTGGTCCTAAAATGCATTATATAATAACAGTTGTGACTTAAAGGGGTCATATGATGCGATTTCAATTTTTCCTTTCTCTTTGGAGTGTTACAAGCTCTTGGTGCATAAAGAAGATCTGTAAAATTGCAAAGACTAAAGTCTCAAATCCAAAGAGATATTCTTTATAAAAGTTAAGAGTCTACTTTGCGCTGTGGATCGCCGGATCGGCTTTCACTGTGGACGACGCGGAGTCCAGCCCGGGGTCGTCACATGTGGTTGACGGGGCGTTTCGTTGTGAAAACGAAACTACTTTGTTTGGCCTTCCAAAAATGGACGATATTAGAGCTTGAGGTATTCGGCCAATCACAGCGCACTGGATAGCTGGCCAATCACAGCACACCTCGCTTTTTTAGAACAATGAGCTTTGTAAAAATCGACGCAGAAAATTTGTTTCAGAAAGGCAGGGCATAAAGGAGAAACAATAATGTACAGTATGTGGAAAATAATGTGTTTTTTGAACCTTAAACCGCATTAACACATTTCATTACACCAAATAATGTTCTTTTTAGCAGCATCATATGACCCCTTTAAAAAGAAATTTGCTCTCCTAGTTATAGCTGTGATATATTGCGAATACAATGCTGCATTTCATTGCTAACACCACATGGTTTGCTATATTTAAAATATAGCTCTGGTTTCAGATGCTGATTGGTTAAAATACACAATATAGTAACTTCTTTGACATGAAACAACCGTTCGCCTGGTTATCACTGTGCATCAGTGCTAACAATGCAATATAGCATGGTTTTTCATTACATTATGAAACCGCTCTGTTTTCAGAAGAGAAATATTGTGCATAGTAACATTGACATGAAACACCTGTTCGCGTAGTTATAACTAACAATGCAATATAGCATGGTTTGCTAGTTTTGAAGAATGCTAAATTATAAAACAGCTCTGGTTCTTTAAGCTGATTTGCTAAAGTACAGTTTAGTAACATTTGATATGAAACATCTGTTTACCTAGTTGTTGCTGTGCTATATTGTTAATATAATGCTGTGAGTCATTGCTAACAACTCAGTTTAGCGATATAGCACAGCCTTACACCTTCTTGCACAAATAAGCAACTAAATAGAGTCTTTGCACTCTAAATTAAACCAATAAACATGGGTTTCATCTCCAAACCTGGACAACGATGAGCTTTTTCTCCTTGGGCTTTCTGTCTGGCCAGTCCTCACCGAAGCAGAAGTAGATCTCAAAGGGTGGTGGAGTGGGTGTCTCTCCTTTCTGATACAAAATGAGACCTGAGAAGAAAAAAAAAAAAAAATGTTGACAATCTATTACATATCAAATCTGCACAATGATCCCATTTGGTGTCTCCTAAAAAAATTCTTGAATGCGAAGTTCAGAAGTGTTTTTTATGTATACAGAAGAAAATTGAAGTGTTGGGTAATTTTGTATTTTCTCTTTTTCACTTCCCAGCAAAGACAGGAAGCTTCTTAGTACTAGTGCAACGAAATGAAGAGCAAAGTGTGTTATGTATTTTAATGCTATCGTGCTGCCAGACAGAATAGATTTGAACATTTTGTCGCCTCAAATCGGTTCCATTTCTGTCAAGTTTTAAAGCTGTTCTTCATTAACAGTACATAAAAAGCATAAATGTGTAAATAAAATAATTATTCCAAACTCTGAAACTTGAGGTTCAAAGAAAATCCAGTGGTTGCCAGTTCTGAATCCCAACCCATTCTCATATGTGCTCAATTGTGTGTCAGTGCTGTAATGCAGTCACAATACATTTGGATATTGTGATTACTTAAATTCAAGACCGATTCCTCTTACCCTGGAGGAAGTTGTTCAGACTGAAGACCCTGATCTTCATTTCTCTTTCCATTGGATTGGGCGGACCCTGCTCTGGCACACCTGGCCCAGACCAGAACACTTTACACTGGCACAGCCTGATGGCGTAGATATCTTGTCCCCTGATCTCCAAAATCAGCCCTCGGTCCATCACATCCAGCAGATGATCGGTATAGAACCTCTGCTTCTCGTTCTGGATCTCAGCGGCTCCTGGGAACAGCACCTGCTGCAGTGTTACCGGACCAAACAGCTCTACTTGCTCTGGTGAGGGCGCCAGATTACCGTAGTAAAGTCTACAACCCTGAGGGTTACTGACAGTCAAAGAATCAGCTGTCCGACCCCTGTACTGGAACTTGATATCTAGATCCGTTACTATAGAAGAGAAAACAAGAAGGAACATTTTATCGTCATTTACTCACCATTGTTTCTTGTTTTTCTTTTATGGAAAACCAAAAGAGATGTTCAGTAGAATGTTGATGCTGCTATTTTCCATACAATGAAAACGAATGGTGATAAAGTGATAGAAAATTACTAAAGGCATTATAAAAGTGGTCCATACTAGACTTCTGTAGCTATATAATAAGTTTGTGTGAGAAACAAATCTAAATTTATATTGATCATTGAAAATGTTCTTGACAGCTCTCAAATTTCTCTCACCTTTATGTATCTGGAATATCAAGACATATTAGGCTAGGTTGGACAAATCATGGCAGATGTCAAATATGTCAAATGTCAACAGTTGTCATTTGGACAACTTTTGTGAATTTTATGGTGCTTTTTTTTTTAATTTAGAGTTTTTTTTTTTTTTTGTAAATTTGGTCACCATTCACTTTTATTGTATGGAAAAGAGCAGCATTAACATACAATGTTCTCTTTTTGTGGTCTATGGAAAATACATGAGAGTGAATGATGACGGACCATTCATTTTTGGATAAATTTTCTCTATAATAACAGATTACCAGTCTAACAACTGAAATTTTCATAATTTCACAATACAGCTAAGGTGTGCACTATACATAGTTTTTATTGGCTCTATACACACCTCTTGCAAAGTCAATTAACATCATTACTCAAAATGAACCGGTGGGACAAGTTTTTTCTGCAAATTAGGCATGTCTTCATCATAAATTGCAACATTAATCCAGAAGAACAAGGCATTAGAGGCTTACAGGGCAACATGTGCGGACTGCTCAGCAACTCTGAGATGCAGGGATGAACCTGGTTCTCCGCTTGAACTGGCACCTCTTGCATTGGGCTGTCCACCATGGCTGGAGGGCCTACAGAATGAGTGACTACATCTTGAAGAAGAGGAGGCGGTATGACTCCAGTCCCCATTCCCAGACCGTTCAGAAGTCCCCCACAGGGATATGGTGCCTGCTCAACTTTGATTGCACTGTGACTGGGAAATTCAGTCAAAGAACTAGCCGAAGGTCCGGTGCTGGGCTGGGCGAGGTGAGAGGTCATAGGAGCACCTCCACTGGGGTTATTATGGACAACATCTCTTAAGAGGTTCATTGGAGGGTTATGGTGGGTGGGATTATAGCCATCGGCAATAGGAGAGGTGAACGGAACGTCTACTCTAGGAGTGTATGCTGGGTAGCTGGAAGGGTCTATCAAGCAACATGCAAAAAATAATAATTATTATTTTAAATAATTTTTTTTTTTCCAAACAACATCCACTTTGAAGAAATCTTACCAATGGAGAGTTTGACAAAGTTTTGCAGCTGAAAAAAAAAATAAATAAATAAAAATAAATTACTGTACATGAAGACATTGGCGAAAATCATGTTGATTTTACAATTTATTTCTTTCGACTTGTAGTTATTCAAGCTATTCTTCTAGGCTCTAGTCTATGCTCTTCAGAACTTACCTCCTCTTCCTCATCGTCTCCGGCATCTAAAATCAACAAAAGAAGGGATCATTTATTGGCTTGTCCATCTTTTATCCCTTAAAGACTTCA